CTCCTATAGCATACAAACCTAATGTACAGTAATCACTTGTGTCTTGGTTAATGGTCATGAAGTATGCCAATGCAAAATACTTAGTTCTTGATTTAGTTGAAGTTTAGCCAGTGCTCCCAGGGAATATATTTATTTGTTGGTAACTAATCAATTTAATTTCGTTCCAGGAAGTATTGGCTGCTTCAGATACTCCACAAGAATTAGAGCATTTGTTGCCTGCTCAAAAAGATTCTAACAATCTTGAAGTGGCTACTAAACTAGAAAATTTGAGTGCTGCAGAGGAGAATCCTGAATCAACCAACTCAGGGAAGAATTTAATGGAGCAGCCAAGTTATCCACGAAGCGTCAAGGACAAAAAGATGTTAACCCGTAATGGTAGTGCTACAGACTCGCGTCCGGTTAAAAAGTTGAAAGACGACAAAGCAGCTGAGCCCATATTATCCATTACAGCACGTCAATTGAGGAAAACGCCTGACAATAAAGAAATACCCCAGGAATTACCTCAACTGAGCACAGGAGTTAGGGGAACAAGACGCACACGGAAACCTGTTGTACGCCATCAGTTTATTAAAACAGAGAGCCTGCTCGGGAAAAATAATGTTGTGAGTTGAATGTCTTTTCTTAACCTTTATTTGGTTGTATCATTCATGTGATGCAACTTGCCATTCGTGACATAATGTTTGTGGGTTCCATGAAATTGGCATAATGTTTGTGGGTTCCATGAAGTCGTTAACACACATAGAGGATGCGCACATGCACACACATTTTTTTTTGTGCCTAAATGATTGTTTACAGCGACTAGTAGCAATGCTATGTAAACATGAAATAGATAGGAACAAAAAAAGATTCTGAGGAAACCACATTTAATGGAATGTTGTCCTACATCCCCTTCCCTGATGGGCAATGATGAAGGTCACCATTTTGGTTTTGATTTCCCATGAACCACTGTTTAGGAATTAAGATCAACATATTTTTTATGTGTAGAAGACTAAGCAAGAGAATGATGGTGAAGTGAATAGCCAGTGGATTCATCCCGTAGCAAGTAAAGGAAGGCGCACAAAATCTCAAACTGGAAGTCGATTGATCCCAGAAGCAGGTAAAAGAGAAAAAACAAAGGTACATATGTCGGTCAGTAGACCATGCACTGATTAGGCTTCTTATGAAAGAAATCTGGTTCTTCATGATTTTCAGGGTATGTCTGTGCCCTGCCTAGCCAAAAGAGAGAGAAAGAAAAGGGTATATATGTTCATCAATAGACCCTGCACTGATTTAGTTTCCTATTTGAGAGTAATTTGGTTATTGATGATATTCAGATAAGGAAGCGTCTGCAAGTGTTTCTTTGGCTGGACAAAATGTTCAGAATGAAGGTAATATTAAAGAAACTGAAGTGCCTCAAACTATCTGGTCAACAACTAAGGGCAAGGAAGTTACACTGGCTGAAAAACCGGCTCAGCTACCTGATCAAGAGTTGCAAGTGAAAGATCAGAAAAAGAGTGCAAATGATCCTGCAAAACCAGCTCAGCTACCTGATCAAGAGTTGCAGGTGAAGGATCAGAAGAAGAGTGCAAATGATCCTGCAAATGAAAAGAGCATGGTAGGCAATATACAAAAAATTGATACATATTAGTCAGCAGAAGGTTTAGGAGTAATGAGTAGTTTTAATCAAACTGCTTGGTGGGTTCTCCCAGAAAGCTAGAACTTCACTGTTTCCTTTTAAAAAAAAATGGAACTCATTTGATGTGATTAGCCGTGTAACTTCTTGTAGGCAAAGTGATTGTTGAGTCGTCCTTAGCTTGACAAAACTTGATTTGATGACTCAATTCACCAATTACTAAAGAGAAAAGGGTATAAATGAAGTAAAGTAAAAAAAACTTGTTTCATACGAATGAAGTTTCTATTTAATTATTTATCTAATATCTCATTCAAGTTTGTCAAATGAGGAACCTAAGTCATTAGGGATTTTTAAGCTATCAACATGGCAACATTGGTTATTTTCTAAAATAAGCTATTAACACCCAGGTTATGTCAGCTGAACTTGGCAGTGATTCAATTTTGGCTAACCTGCTCCGTAGCCTGGTTACTTTTCCAGACATGGTATAATCATGGAGTGAGAGGTCCTCAGTGAAAAGTTATCTCTTGTGTACTTCTTTTTGCTTTTCCACTCAATGGTATTGCCTATGGATGTTTGCCTGTACTTGAGCAGGAGTTTAAGCAGCAACAAGCTGGAGGAAGTAGTCATAAAAGAAAGAGAGGCAGGCCTCGAAAGTTAGCGGTTGTAAGGTCACGAGCTTCAGACGGAGGTAAAAAGTCCTTAAAACTAAATTCATTGTCTGATATTTTAGATTCGGTCAAGTCCATTGCTTTTCAATGTATTTCAGTTGTGTCCCTTTGGTTTTAATTGAACATTATCAACCATTTATCTTATTTGTGTCAATGTGGTTCTTCTGGTTAATTTAATCCTACATTTTGCAATTGGAGAGAATGATTCGGGTGCAAATGCGATCCTATGTGAGCCTCAAGTTGTATCGGAGTCATGCAGATGCTTGTCTAACATCCTATCAAGTTATTGGAAGTGGATGGATGGACAATCACTAGGGAAATATTGAACAGTTATTTTTATTTTCTCAAATGATATAAGTACCAAGTTGCGATATAATGACCTACTCAAATATGAGTTTAACCAGAGTTATCCTCCTTATACTGCCATGCTACAAGTGGGGATGTATATATAGATAACATTGCTCAAGTTGAAATGAGATGGAACAAATTTGGCCAGCAAAGAAAAAAGTTGTTACTTTGACCAATGAACCTTTTGAACTGCAGTTAAGGGGCAGAATATGTCAGGAAATGTTGCTGACAAAAATGATAAGAATGATCAGACGCCTGAGGAAGCAGCTTTGCATGTGCTGAGGGGGATGGATTCTACAGGTTTGAGATTGTACAACTTGATTTCGTTTTAAGCCTATCAGTGAGGAAATTTTAACATTTTCATTGATGGGAACAATAAAGTTAATAAAAAAACAACATATAACTATATAAGCAGCACAGTTACTCTTCCCTACCAGGGATAACTGAGAATGTTGTATAATTTTTAGTTAAGCAACTTGTAAAGCATTAAGGAATGACATGAAGCAAACCAGAATTTGAAATAATTACCGGAAGTTTGAGACTTGGAAAAGAATTGTGCACACAATTTAATTGTTCAACAAGGTGGTCTAGCTAAACATTTTTCTATTTTCTGTGTAACAACTTTCTCAGTGAGAATTAAAGCCAAAGTAGTTCTATTTATTCTATTGACCTTGTTTCCCCCTCCCTTTTAACCGGAACACTTTCTGGAATTTGTTTAGCTGCAAAAGATGCCTCTAAAAGAAAAACAGCCGATTTTCCTGGAAGGTGCAAAATAAAAGAAGCTGCACCAATAGCATCTGATAATCCAGATGATGATGATAAACCTCTATCCATGTGGTTTGGGGGGATGCAGCTTTCTGCGTATGTTGGTGAATCAAGTAAGCTGCTTCATATATTAGTTATTTTTCTGTTATAGTAATTAGTTTGACTATATGTGTTCTTCTTTCTAGGACCATCCCCTGATGCAAATGTCAACCAGCATAATGATAGACAAGAACCAGTTGAGGTAGCTAGCGAATCTCCTGCAGTTGATGCAATCAGTGGCAGCGGGCCATATGAGGAGCAAGGGTTGCCTTTTGTTAAGAGCTCCCCTGTGTGGAAGACAATTGAAACATTGGAAGTATTCAGGCTTTTCCCCCAAAATCCTCATTTCCGACCTCTGGTTGAATGCAAAGAGGAATACCGCGAGGGTTCAGCAATTGGAAACATGATAACCTTTTCCAGTCTGACGGATAAAATATCCAGGCTGCAGTTCGACGACCATCAAAGTGTTTTTGATAGCATTTTGGAGAGTCTTGTTGACTTGGAAAATTATGGATTCAATGTTACAATTCTACGCAGGCGGGTGAATGATCTGCTGTCTGTTAAGGACAAGCAAGGGCGGTTTCAGGTCGAGTCAAGGGATGCTGAACAGAAGATCATGGAGCATTCTCGTGAGAAGAACAAACTTGTCGAAGAGGCTGACTATATTGCGAAGAAAATAATTGAGTTGCAGGACAAACATGCATCAATCAAGTCAGAAGTGGAGGCCAAAGAACATGTGATTGCTAGATTGCGAATGTCTTTTGATGCCATGAATGAAGGCATTCAGAGCGCTCGGAGTGATTTTGAAAAGCTAGCTTTGGCTCCCATGAATTAGGCCGCGCACAGCTCACAACGCACAACGGGAGTGGTTAAACTTTGCTTCTCAGATTAGGCATGTAATGCTTAGGTATCGATTCGGACAATTGCTCTATTTGTATTAGGGATGTTGAGTTGCATTGTGGATTGTATCGATCATTTATATTTTACATGTTGCCTGGATTCTCCGGGCGAATAAAAACGCGGGTTTTATTCTGCTTTTCGATTCTCATTTCTCCTTAACGTACTTTGGGAGTCCTGGGGAGCAAGAGTCTTATTGCTCTCCTCTTTAGTTCAATTCAAGTGTTCCTTTATCGCCTATATGAGGAGAAATTCAAAGGCCTGATACCGGATTACGTGTTCGGGCAGACTTTAGACACAAAAACCGCCCCATGATCCACCACCCTAAAACTTGAGACCCACCACCCTAAAACTTGAGACCCACCACTGCCCAATGTAATGACTTCATCCCCTCTTACACCACTCACTCTTTATACGCCGGACTTAAAATCTTCTTCTACGAGAAATTTAAAATCTCACTTAGGGGTTAACATTAGTAAAACGCATGCATATCGGCCCATGTAATGCATGTTGAAGATTTCATTACTGGCATATGTTACAGCTTATGTCATGGTCAATTAATTTAACTTTTATTTTATTTTATCGTAAAATAAAATTTGTAAAACTTGAATTAATTTGTCATTATATTATCGTAAAATATTATAGCTTATGTCATGGTCAATTAATTGTAATCGATATAAGATTTCACCTTTCTACAATCTTTGGATTAAATTCTCACTTCAATCTTATCCATTGGATTATTTCACTTCAACATGGTACGTGATGAACTAATTTCAGCGCATGTTTTTCCGAAAGTTGGAGAATTTGATCCGAGCATATTAGCTTACTACGCGTGATGCGCAGGTTAGACAAAACCTCGCTCCTAACAAACTACCGCCAGCTTTGTACGCTTCCGGCAGCCAGTCTCCCTGCATCCTATAACATTCTGTCATGTAACAGAAAGATTGCAGAGTGCGTGAGAAATGACCAAACGCCAAGTGCACAGGACCTGTTCGATCAAATGCCCGTGAGAGACGTCGTTTCGTGGAACACCATGTTGTCGGGTTTGCAGAAGGCCAAAAACCCACACGGAGTTAATCGATGTTTCTTGCAAATGACAAGAGATGGATTCAGACCAAACGAGTACACTGTCTCGATAGTACTCAACGCGTTTTTGGGCACAGCGTTTAATGTTTTGGTCTCGCAGGTTCATGCCGTTGTAGTCCGCTTGGCGCTCAACTCGAGTGTGTTTGTTGGGTCAGCGCTGATGAAAGGGTACGCAAATGCGGGCAATCGGGTAGCTTTGAGCGGAGTGTTTGATGAGATTTCAGTGAAGGATGTCTCGTCTTGGAACGCTTTGGTTTCGAGTTACATGGAATTGGGGTGCATCCATGAGGCTCAGACAGTTTTTGATGGGATGTTGGAAAGGAACGTTGTTTCGTGGACTAGTCTGGTGAATGGTTATATCAGCAATAAGAGGGTTAACAAAGCTCGCTCTGTTTTCGACAAGATGAGTGAAAAGAATGTGGTTTCATGGACTGTTATGATCAGTGGGTACGTGAGAAGCCATAAATTTGTGGATGCTTTGGATCTTTTCCTCTTAATGTTGAAATCGGGGACTCGGCCAAACCATTTTACCTTTTCAAGCGTGTTGGATGCATGTGCTGGTTGTTCTTCACTTGTCTTGGGACAGCAAGTTCACTCGAGCATCTTAAAGTTCGGTGTGCCAGAGGACGTCATCATGTCAACCTCACTTGTTGACATGTACGCAAAATGTGGAGACATTGGCGCGGCACTATGCATTTTCAGATCAATGCCAAGGAAAAACCTGGTGACATGGAATTCGATAATAGGAGGTTATGCCAGGCACGGACTCGCTACAAGAGCATTGGAGGAGTTTCAGAGCATGACCGAGTGCGGTTGTAGGCCTGACGAAGTAACGTTTGTAAACCTGTTATCGGCTTGTGGGCATGGCGGGATGGTTGAAAAAGGCAAAATCCTATTTAACTCCATGAAAGCAAAGTTCGGAGTTGAACCAAAGGTCGAGCACTATGCTTGCATGGTTGACCTATATGGGAGAGCAGGTGAGCTAGAGGAAGCCGAGAAGTTGATACAAGGGATGCCATTTCAGCCGGATGTGGTGGTTTGGGTCGCATTGCTTGGTGCATGTGGCTTGCATTCAAGTCTCGAACTTGGCGAGTTGGCTGCTACAGAAATTGACAAACTGGGACATGCCCATCCCGCAGGATATTCGACGCTTTCAAAGATTCACGGCGAAAGAGGAGCATGGAACAGCGTCCAAGAGTTTAGGAAGACGATGCAAGAGAAAGGCATTCGAAAGCAGAACGCCGGTAGCTGGGTCGAATCTCCACAAGGAATGAGATGAACAGATTCATGAAACTGACCAAAACACATTTGAGATTACGAGGTCCGATTTACCCTACCACAACATTTACGCTTGGAAAATAGACCTTCATTGATTAAAATCAAAATATAACCTTGTGTAATACCGTCACATCCATGATCAAATGACAATCGTGAGTACGATACAAAACTATAGATAGACTACGAAAACTAAATTCAAGAAAAATGGTACCGAGACAATGCAAGGCCTTTCCCCAATTACAGTGACAACTGGGATGCTCAAAGAAGCAAATTGCTGAAATCTGATCATTTCAACCAGCTCTCAACGCTTGCTCCTTTGTTTCTCGGAATAATTCCGCACTTTCCGAAGATTCAGGGCCAAGAGCTTCATTTTCGGTTTTTGTTCTCATCCTTGTCCTCCCGCTTCCTGTATAGCTTCTCAAGAACACGCTTGGCCTCACACTGGGGAAAATTCGCCAAGTCATAGTAGTGGGGTGCTATATCGACCAGCCTGTAGGCATGTAATATGGAAGATTAGAAACAGATATACTCGAGAGAATAGGGACACAGTTTAAATTCGGGTATTTGGAAAATATTGAAAGAAACTAGAGGGGGAGAGAGAGACTAACCACTCCCCACGAACATCCGTCACTGTACGGATAAAATTCCTGCTTGTCAAAACATACTCGTTGTAGATCACCCATTCTGGCTTGTGGTCCAAGCAATTCGACGGATGCAAATGCACCACCTGCGAACAAAGATCATACATATAAGAGGCGGGCACAAACACTGATAAGGGTAAAAAGGGAAATATCATATGGCCTATATGGAAAGTAAAGAGTAAATTTACGTACTTGGTTATCTTTCACTGTCAGATAGTGTCCAGTACGTTCCAGATGAGCCACCTGCATGAAATATCCAGCTAGCATGGCCTTCCTTATGTTGATGTAGTAGTCACGACTATTGAATTCAGTACTGCATAGCTTGAGGTTAAACCGGGCCATAATGCGCACTAGCTGCTGCCTGACGTTGTCTGCAGACTTCAATGCCCTCTGATTCACAAAGTTCTCATAGCACCATGACGGATCCTCATCTACACACCATTCAGAAATAAATTTTAATACCAAGACACCGGATGATCAACTTCAAATCAGTAATGAAACAAACAGATACATGTACTTACTATTTTGCTTGTATGCATGATACACATTCAGAAGTGTGAGATGATCTCCATCAATGTGCCCGAACCTAGCTTTTGCTTCGTCAGCAGCTTTTTGAGCCTCCCTAGGCCGGACAAAGCAATTGGGTACTAAGAAATAAATTGGTTATCACAGAGGAGGCCCATGGAACGTTAGCAGATGCATAGAGGCGAGACGACACCATTTGCTTCATGAGATAATACTGAGAAACTGCAACTATATGCATCAGCAATTACTTAAAAATCCATAGGTACATGCCAACCGGGGGCATGGAACCCAGACAAGACAGTTGCTGATGACAACCTAATTTGACACAGTACTAATTCAACCACATGCATAAGCATTAGCATGCAGATTTTAGTTAAGATAGTGTGTGCACAAAAGAAAATGTCTGTACACATAACAGACTCAAAGGCATGCAATCAAGAATCATGCAGCCCAACCTTATCTACTTTGATGTAGATAAGAGCCTAGACAGACACAACTGAGAAAGCAATGACAAAATAGAAAATAAAGTACCTGAGAGCATGGCAGATACTGACAAAATTTCATTTGAGCAGTTGAACTCAGGGCTGACTACGAGCATCTTTGACATCTGAGGATCCAACGGGAACTCACTCATAATCTCCCCTAGCTTGGTCAAGTTACCTTCATCATCCAATGCTCCCAAATAATTCAAGACCTCTAGTGCTCTCATCAATGTCTCAGGAGCAGGGGGATCCATAAAATCAAAATGAACCAGATCATCTATTCCTAGTTTCTTCAAAGTAAGAACTGTATTTGCAAGGTTTGATCTCAAAATTTCTGGATACGTTTGCGGTTGAAGATCATTATTGAAACTTTTCTCAGTATAAAGTCTGAAACATTTTCCTGGCTGAGTTCTTCCAGCACGACCTGACCTCTGATGTGCACTTGCCTTGGAAATTGGAGATACCAACAAGGATTCAACACGCACTCTTGGGTTATAGACTTTTTGTTTAGCAAATCCGGGATCAATAACATAAACAATTCCATCAATAGTCAGAGAAGTTTCTGCAATATTTGTTGACACCACGATCTTCCTTCCAGGAATTCCACCTTCTTTTATGGGAGGAGGAGCAGGATCAAATATTTTCTGCTGCATAGCTGGAGGTAGAGTTGAATACAGAGGCACCACTTTCACAGGACCAACCTGGTCACCCAGATTTCCGACTTCCTTGTTTATTTTGCGGCATGCATCTTCTATCTCCTCCTCTCCTGTTAGAAAAACAAGTATATCTCCTGGGGTCTCATACATATGAATCTGCACAACTGTTCGAATTGCTGCTTCCAGATAATCCCTTTCAGGTTCCTCAGTGTAAAAAATTTCCACCGGATGAAGCCTTCCAGGAACTTTCATGAGTGGCGCACCACTGAAATAACCCTGAAACTTTTCAGCTTCAAGTGTAGCACTCATCACAACCACCTTCAAATCAGGTCTGTTTCTCAACACTTCCTTCAAAAGCCCAAATAGAACATCTGTGGCTAAAGTTCTTTCGTGAGCTTCATCAAGAATTACCACGCTGTATCTTTCTAGAAGTGGATCAGTCATTGCTTCTCTTAAAAGCATTCCATCGGTGAGATACCTGCCACACAAAATGCATAACCTGTAAGTAACATGTCTTTCCCTAGGGTCTGAGCAGAAATGATACAGCAATAGAAAAGAGCAGAAAAGGTGTTGAGCTTACTTCAACACAGTTCTGGCACTGCTGCAGTCTTCAAAACGGATGCTATAACCAACTTCTTCTCCAATGGTTACATCCATCTCTTCAGCAACACGACGGGATACTGACATTGCAGCCACCCTACGTGGTTGGGTACACGCAACCATCATCTTCTTGCGTTTATCGGAAGATTCTGAATGGACAGCTTCCAAAACAAATTGAGGAATCTGTAAAAGAGAAGTACATAGACAATTGCCATTGTCAGACAATTTCAACAATTCTCATTCTTTACATGACCTTCAGCAAGAACGATACAGAGGAGAAGATAAAATAATCTCACAATCAACTTTCTAACAGGTTTATAGAGCATAATCTATGATTTATAAAGCCCTATCCCACATTCACCCAGATTTTTTGTTGTGGTGTATCCAGGAAGACCAGAAAAAGCATGGCTAGGCCCCATCTAGTTCTACCATAATTTTGGCTTTGGTCCTAATGTTACCAGAAAAAAAAATATAAAGTGTCCAGTTTCTTTAAATTTCCAGTAGGCACCTAGTTGTGTTGAGAAAGCGGCACGAAATATAAAGTTCAACCAAATCGTTTATACAGGGCCTATAATTACATACCTTTACATTCTAATTAGTTAATGGCACTGCCATAAATGATATTATGGTAAAAGTGTACCCTCGGCCAAGGGTGACAAATGTGGTTCAGAAAAATTGTAGAGGTGCATCGGGTAATATCGACCCCCAATACAGAATTAATTCCCATATGCATCATTACGGTGTAAAACACAAGACCGCTATTTAAGCTTAACCATTGTTGCATAGCTTGACAACTGGATTTAAAAAGCAATGCACAAATAATTTGGACTACAGGGGTTTTAAATATGCCACTGTATTCTCCCTCTCAACACCACAAAAAGCAACAATATTTCAAATTAACAAGAAGGGAAAAGCATAACCCTATTGCAATTTTGCAAAAAATCAAAACATGTAAGGCCATTGTTTATGGAGTTTCTAATCAACAAAACATTATTTTTTTGATAATATGCATTACAAAGTTCGAATTTTTATTCAGCTTCTAATTCCATTACATATTTCATGCTACAAAATAGACGAAAAATACAGTAACAAAGTTTGAAGAAACGAACCTGAGTGGTTTTACCGCTACCCGTTTCACCAACCAAAATGAGAGACTGGCTGGCCTTGAAAGCTTGCAAGAACTCCTCTTTCTGGTGCCAAACAGGCAACGTCTTCCTCTTTTCAAGGATCTCATAGTACCTCTGAGAGTACGGCTTCCCGGTCCACCGATTGATAAGACTGTTCACAGCGTTTTGGTTGGCAGCAGCTCCTCCGCTGCCGTTCGATTTGTTCATCTTCGCCGATGTGATGGAAGCCTCGTCCACCACGTCGAACAAGCTGACCTTCCTCTTCCTCTCCGTACCCATCAATCAAAAACCCTAACGGCGGCAAAAACGCCCCAAAATCCTATCACTTGGATCCTAAAAAGGTCGGATAGGATCCGAAGAGAGAGGCTTTCCTTTCCGATTTACGATTTAGCCCTAAATTTCGTAAACCCTAGAAGATGGAAGAAGATTGAGGATTTTGGAGAGAGAGATAGGGGTGCTAGGGCTTTGGCGCTGCGCAATATTATAGGTGGTGAAATTTCAGAATTACGATTGAGTCCCTTCCTCCCTCCCTTGTTGCAGGCCAGGAAATGGATACCTTACAATTTCAGTTTGGGCCGGCCTTAAGTCGGAGGCCCAATCACTGCATTTGTAATACTGTGAGGCCTAATCAAAATTTGGATTTCTTTAGACACCCAAACCGCTGTTAACAATATATCAAACTACCTCAACTAAAAACGAAAAGGAGTGGCGGTTGAGTCACCCATCCCCCACCTAGATTTGTAAACAGGTCGGATTTGGATCAGATCATCTTTGATTCATACTCGGATCTATTATTGAAAGTCACAACACCTGTTTCCACCATGTTAGTCACATGTCATTTGCATAGGAAATGGCACATTTAACATTTCCATTAGATTTAGCAATAGATTCAGTGACATTAGGGCAAACAGTTTGTCTGTAAATTATCAGCAACACTTGGTTTTACTGATTGAAATTTTTGTTTTACAATTTCTAAATGTTTGTCACATTTTCAGGTCCTTGATTATGTTTCACTGGTTCAGAAGGTTATGCTTCCCGACGAGTTGGTTGATCATCACACTCTTAACACTTGATCAGGTGCGATAACGGAT